AAGGGTGGGGGTGTGCACTTATCTATGCAGTTTATTTTTCTTGTATGAGAGAAAAGGGGAAAAAAGAAAGAGGGGAAAGCAAACAAAAAAAAAGGAAAAAGAAAAAAGCCCCCTCCAACGCTCCCGCAGAGCCCCTGCTGCTCTCCAGGAGCCCCCCACACACACACACGCAAGGCAGCTCCTGTCTCCACAGCTGTGGGGTGCGGGCTGCGTCTCCACGCTTCTTGCTTCCCTCTTCTTCTGTTCGCCGGTTTGAGATTTCTGCCTCAGAAATTGCGCACCCTGGGGCTCCTGTCGGACTCCCGGCTGGATGGTTGGCCCAGAGGCTGAGCTTGCCCTGGTGCTGTAAAACACTCTGCCTTGTCCTGGATTCCCACAGCTTCGCAGCCAGGGGCGCGGACGGACTGTGCCTCCACTGGAGCACTCCTCTCTCCGTTCTGCCTGGCGCCCGGCCTGAGGACTCTGCCTTAGCGGGGCTGGAGGTGCAGGGGGCAAGCCGTGGGAACTCTCCGATCCGCTCTCTAAGACCCCGAGTCTCAGCAGCCGCGGGTGCGGGCTGTGCCTCCATGCGTTTCGCCTCGCTCTTCCCCCACTCGCCCAGTCTGCCCACCTTTAAGTACTCGGCGTGGGAGTCCCTTCGCTGCTCAGCATGCTCGGTAGAGGTTTGTTTGCTGCACTGCAGCTGCTCAAATTGCTGTGCTTTCCAGGGGAGAACTCAGGGAGCCCTCCTCACCACCGCCATTTTTTTTTCTCCCAATGACTTCTTTACCTGAAGATAAAGAAAATATTGAAAGGAAGACATTTGGATGACATTCAGGACATCAAGGGTAATACGAAGACAGCTCTGATGATCACTCCAGAAAAAAAGTTCCAAAGTTGTTTTGAAGGGTGGACTAGGCACTGGTGTCAGTGCATAGCTTTCCAAGGGGAGTACTTCAAAGGTGACCGTAGTGATATTCAGCAATGAGGTATGTAGCACCTTTTCTAGGATGAGTTCGCGAATGTACGTAATTGTCTGACCTCGTATTTTAATTAAGGTGTAACTTTTATACAGTAATTTTGACAAATGTATAGTCATGTGACCCCCACCATAATCAAGATTCAAAACTCCCACCATCCCAACAGATTCCCTCATGCCCCTTTGTAGTCAGCCCTTCTCCCCACCTTCAGCCCCTGACATCTACTTGTCTCTTTTTTGTCCCTATAATTTTGCCATTTCCAGACTCTCATACAGTATGTAGTATTTTCAGTGCAGCATCTTTCACTCAGCAGAATTTGAGTTACCCGTGGTGTGTGTGAATCTGTAGTGGGGTCCATAGTATGGATGGACCTCACCAGTTGAAGAACATTTGAGTTGTTTCCAGATTTGGGTGATTAATAAGAAAGCTGCTATAGACTATTTAGTACTTTTGTCTGAACGTAAGTTTTCATTTTACTTGGGTGAACACTTAGGAGTGGGACTCCCAGCTCACATTGTGAGTGCATGTTTAATGTTAAGAAACAGCTTCTTCAAAGCAACTGCATCATATGCATTCCCACCAGCAGCATATGACCTCCACAATTCCACCATTTTCTGTGGTTCCAGAGTGGTCTGTAATGTGAGAAGAGATCTAGCTGTAAGACATTCACCGGGGGGGTAGAGGGATGGAGCTAGAATTTGGGTTATGTCAAAGGGGAGTTTAGCTTTAACCATTTAATTTTAATAGTGAGAATGTATTTGTTAATTACTTGTGTAATTAAAGAGAAATGAAAATGTGATACTTCTTATCAAAAAGAAGGAAGGGAGATTTAGGGAAAATGGCAGGCTGAGATGACCATGTCCACCCTTCCCCACCATTTTAAACACACAGAAGTTCTGGATTAAGTATAACATGTTCTAAGTACATAGTTAAGCTTAAGAGAAAGAGGTAGAAATGTCCTGAGAGCCATAAAAAAGTGAAATCAGTGCCAGAACCAGAACAGGAGCTGTGCTGGGCAGTCTTCAGGGTCTCAGAGCGGATCTGGGCCCTGGGCTGCGGCTGGAGTGCTCCCACGCACTGAGATGAGAGGATGGCCTGACTGCATCAGATGGGCTATGGGGGAATTCTCTTCCCAGAGCTTGGAGCCTCAGAGTCTTCTCCTGTTGGTTGAAAGGGGAGGAGAATAACTGCCAACCAACCCCAGGACGCTGCAGGGAGCTTGGAGCGTGGAGAACCCCACCTCTCCAGATCCCTGGCACAGACACAAGGTCTCAGTTTACCCTGCCTACTGTGTCTAGGTAGGAGCCCAGGTCCAGGAGGGAATGTAAATTGTAGCCACAGGGCCTCCCACAGGACCTCTAGGAGAAGCCACTGTGCAGCTGCCCTGGAACATCCTTCTCACACCCATACTCACAGAGCAGTCACAGAACAAAATGACCCCAGCTGAAGCAAGTGCACATTAAAAAATTATACATTCATTGAAAAACAAAACAAAAAACACACAAAAAAACCCTCTGTTAAGAGACAGTTATGAAAAATCTGGACAAAAACTACAAAGTAAAAGGCTAGAAGTTCTCAAAATGATAACTGAATAAATAGAAACCTAATTAAAAATATAGGACAATTTTTTTTTACAAAAGCCTATTTGAAAAAGAAACAAATTCACATCTAACAAATCTTTTAAAATGTCATTAGAATTTTAAAAATTTCAAAACCAGTGGATAAGTCAAATAATAGGTTAGATATCACTAAAGAAAAAATTAGATTTACTTGAAGAAGTCACCCCAAAGAACAGTAGAAAGATAATTAGATGGAAAATATATGTGTTCAGTTGAAAAGTATGGAATGAGGTGGTTCCACGTAATCTAAGTGAGAGTTCCAGAAATACAGAATGAAAGACATGCTACATTTAAAGAGAAGACTGTTACCTTGTCAGGTGCCCTCCGTTGTTCGTCCCTCCAGCCATGCCTCCAGGAAGAAGTGTGGATATCCTGACCCAGGGTTCTGGTTACAGGAAGAGAGACCCGGAAAGTCAGTCTCCATTCTGAGCCCCATGAGGACAGGATGTGTGTGAGGTTAGGAAGACATGTAACACCTGTGTTACTAAGAAATTTGAAGGGACAGTTATAACTCTTCTTCATATGTAAGTGTATCATTTCAGAATTTATAAAGGACATTTTCAAAGAGAAGAACAAAAGGAACTGCCAAATTTTTACAAAGTGCCTGTACCATTTTACATTCTTACTGACAGTGTATGAGAGTTCCCCTTTTCCACATTCACATCAATACTTGTTCTTGTCTGTCGTTTTTGCTGTAGCTGCTCTTGTGGATGTGAAGTGATTTTGAACTAAACATCCTGCAAATCTGGTTTTTACATCGAACTATTTTATTTTAAACTGTTTATTATAGTCCAAAATTGTTGCTAAATACCTTTCTAAATACCTTATCATACAAAGTCTAGTTGTAATTAAATTGAGAATAACCGTATGTTCCACATATCCTGACATTCTCAGTTTTTATTCAGTCTTCAATTATGATGATTTTAATGTGTTCAAAATAGTGTAGCTGTCTGATAAAACAAACTGCACAGGATCACCATCACCCCCCCCCCCCCCCCCCCCCAAAAAGGTTGACTATATTTTTGCCTCAAGAACTTGAAGGTTCAAGAGAAGCATGTTTGAGGCAATCCCCGTCCTCTTGTCATTAGGTAAATGATTTCACATGTCCCTAAGCCTGCTGCATAAGTCGGTGCTTTGGGCCAACCATTGGGGAGCACTCACCTACAAGGTCACGATCATGTCCACATACAATGGTGTACTCAGAAAAGGCCCAGGTACTAGCAAGTGCCCATGGAAGCTGTGGGCAGGCCCTTTTTGAGCAAGTTCACTAGTGGTGTGTCAGTTAGCAGGGCTTTCAGTTACTATAATGAGTTGTTAACTGCTTGTTGTATGATTGTTTCAAACTCTAGTTTCTTCTCTGCATTTTCTTGCTTTAAAAGAGGCAGTAAAAGACATCTGGTTAGTATTTAGTGCCTATGGTACTTTTAAATAAAGAACCCTCTTTCTGTTACAAATGTGTAAATGCTGTATATCAGCTATTTGATTTTAAAAACAGCGTGCAATTTGTATTTGTCCAAGGCTGAAATTTGACTTTTAGGAAGTTGGAATTTGTCCTTTGGCTGTGTTGTGTTTTTTTTAAACAGCAGACAGCTTGACTTTGTTGGCACACACCCTCTGTTTCCATTTCCTCTCATTGCCGAGCTGCATAATGCAGGCTGGACAGCTGTTGTGCAAGCCTCTGGGGTCCTGGGGCCGCGTTCCCCTCCAGCACGTAGCTCTGTCTCTCTGTCCCCAAATAAAGCTAAGAACTGTGCAGGCCTTTTCCGTCTCTGTGGTCAGCCTCGGCCTCTGGGAAATAGTATGTTTCTTCAAATATTATTTAAACTTGCAGGTTAGCTGAGTCCTATTAGAAGGAGATTATAAAAGATAAGTAGAAAACTCACATTCAAACAAATATCTTTACAACTAAAATTTTCATGTAACAAGGATTGACGAGCTGCAGCTTTGTCCCATTTATTTCGAATGTGATGCAACTAATTCTTGTACACAATCACATTTTCAGGATAGAGAAATGTTAAGCAATTGAACTTCGTGTAAATCAGCCAAGAGGGAGTCGGACAGTAAAATCTCCATATTTTCGGACAACTTGAATCCTTTCCATACATTGAAATACCAGAAGGTTGGGACTGCACTGAAAACATTATTCAGAGCACGCAGAAAAGTAATCAAAAACCATCATGCATCAGATAAGGCCTTCAGGGGAAAAAGGTCCACAAACTACCTATTGACAAATGAGCCAAGAAAAGGCACAGTGTCTGCTCCCCAAATAGGACCACAGATACCTCCACGTTAGGAAAGGCTTGCAGATTGCTGGTCTCAATCCAGGAAGGTCAGGGAAAACAAAATAGATTTTGTGTTCTTTGTACCAAATCCTAGAGCATCTGTACACAATATTTCATACATTATGGTCACTGCTCTGCAGGACAGAAATGACAACTGGAAGAGACCCAAAGAGAGACAGCGAAGTCATCGAGATGGTCCCGGGGCTTCCAGGTGGAAAAGAACAAGCCTTCACCCTGGATGGCAGTGGCAGAGAGGAGATGTTCATGGGTTTACTTACTTATTGTCTGTCTTTTCCTCTAGATTGTATGCTTTAGGGGCTCAGTCATGCTGTCTTTTGTGTTTTTAATTTTTTGTTGAAATACATACATACAGAAAAGGGCACACATAAATATACAGTTGGATAATTTTTCACAAAATGAATTTGTAGAACCACCAGCCAGACAAGGAAGCAGAACTTGAGTGGTCCCCAAGAGCCCCTGTGCCCTCTTCAGTCATTTCCCCACAGGGCCAGAGCCGCCCGCCTGCCCTAGAACTTCACGGGACAGTATGGGGTCGGCACCTTTGGCTCCACACTGGGCCCGTGAGTTCCATCTCCATGAACTGTTGCTGGTGATCACTCAGCTTCCGTCGTGTGGATGGGCCACAACCATTTACCTGGCACTCTGTTCCTGGGCCTCCTGGGTTCTGGCGACTGGAAATTGCGCTGGGGGTACTTGTCTTGCGGTGACACATGTACATATTTATGTTGGGTGGAATTGCTGATTCTCAGGGTAAACGTATATTCAGCTTCAGGAGGTGTTGCCAAACAGTTTTGCAGAGTAGCTGTACCCATTTACACTCTCTCTTAGCAGTGTGTGAGGGTCCCATTGCTCACACTGGCTGTGTTGTTGTATTCCATTATGGCTTTTATTTGCATTTCCCTGATGATGGGTGTTACTTTGTTCATAAAGCTGTACCGAGCATTTAACAAACTGCCTGGAGTTTTCATTAGAGTTCTTTCAACACAAGTGACAGAGAATGGGACAGAAACCCAGCTCACGGTGGCTCAGAAAAGAAGGAACATGACAAAATGGCCAGTGGCTGTCTGGAATATTACTTCCCTTATCTGCTTGTGTTTTATTATTTTGCATGCATAATTACATATTAATAACTGTATGAAGAGAAAGTTGTGAATTCACCTCTAAAGAGTTTCTAGCACTGATTGTTTTGTTTATATCTGTGTGTGTATTCAGCTTAATTATAATTTCTGATTATTTTAAAAGAAACCAGCTTGGTCACCTTTGTTATTATGTCTAGAAGGGAACAGAGCTACTTTTCAAAGCATATAATTGCCACCCGAATAGCTTCGAACAACACTCTTTAAAACAAACCCACTGCTAGGACTTTTGTTCCCACCTGAAGTCGTGGTTATTGTCTAGTCACCCAAATGGGGTTGATTTTTAAGGGTGCATTTGCCTTCAGATTGATGACAGGGCGTGTGTTTCTTAGGAGTTCATGTGACTGAATTTGCTTGCCTAATTGTCCCCTTTTCATTCTCACATGGGAAGGTATAGAAGACTTGTATTTGTAAGCTTTATTCCTTTCTTGGATTCCTCTCTTCCTTCTCTCAGCTCTGTTTTTTAGACAAGGTGTTTACGGCCATGTTTCATGCTGTGATCTCTCCCATCAGCAACGCCATGATTTCCTAAAAGTGCTGCTTGCTGTGGAGAGTGTTTTTCCAAACTAGCTAGCAGGAGCTCTGAGTGTGTGTGGGTTTGGGGAGCCACAGGGGTTTCTGCCTGTCTGGTCTGGGCTGTCACTCTCCCTGTGGAGTGGGTGAAGGCAAAAGGCTTGTCCCCTCACCCCAGTGCTGTCATCCCTGCTCCTCAGAGCTGTTTTCAGTAATTGCTCCAGCAAAGGTAGAGGGACAAGCGTGAGAAAACCATCGTGGACAGTCTGGGAGTGGAGTAGGGAGAAGAGGAATTGTGCCAGGATGGAGGAATTAGATGGGGAGAATGATAATATTGAGTCCCGATTTTCTGTGGGAGAGTGGTGTGCTATTCAACATCGAAAAAGGCAGTCTTGGTCTCACTGTTGAACAAATTCATTTGGAATGAAGTCAAAAGACAGCATCCTGTGCAACAGGCCAACTAGGGACACCCTGTGTCTCCTGGGACAGAAATCACTATTACCAAAGATTACAGACAAACGACAAATAAAATTTAAACATGAAATTTTAAAATAAGTAACTGAGGCAGAAGGACTTTTTCTAGCTTAATACAATTAAAATGAAATATGAAAAAAAATGTAGCAAAAAATAAGGAAGTAGAAATAAATACGGCTATGGCAATGAAGACTTTCTCCTTAGAGGCCTGAGAACCACTGGGTAACCAATACAGAAGCACAGAAATGATGCTTGAACTGGGCCCTGAAGGGAGTCCTGGGAACAGGGAGGCATTTAAAGAGTGGAAAATAGAGGACCAACAAAGAAAAGCAAGTACATTTCAGTCTTGGGGCTAAGGTGGACGCTGTCCGGGCAAAGAGGAAAATGAGAGCGGGTGAGAGGCTTATTGAGCAGAAAAATTCCACCATGTGTTCTGGTTTATTCCAAGGGCCACACAGGACAGATGTGCCCCTGGCTGCATCTGCCCCCTCTCCACAGGCTCCCAGGTCATACGGTCACTAGGCCATCCAGGTGTGACTTGGGTGGTGGTTTGTTTTTTATATACATAATCTGCTATATTCTTGCTTCCCAGCGCCACTCACCCAAAAGAAACACCATTAAAAACGTGGTGTGGTGTCCCCAGACCTCTCGGGCCCTGTTCCCTTCATTCCTCGGGTTCTCTCAGGACAGTCCAGGCCGCCTCAGGCTCCTCGAGTCCCCTGGGCAACCTAGTCTCCAGATTTCTCCTGCAGCATGGCCAGACAGTCACATTGGGCTTTGCCCACGATCTCCCCACCTTGCAGCAAAGCAGCAGTCACAGGTTGTGCCCAAGGAGTGACCAGGTCTGCTTTCCAGCCGGACTTCATTATGGACACTGAAGTTTGAATTTCGTATCATTTCACAGGGCACAACTGTTCTTTTGTGTTTTTTTGTTTTTGTTTTTGTATTTGACCATGCACAAATGTAAAACCATTTTAGCTGGCCGGCCGTGCACACACGGGACTGCAGAATCTGTGGTAGGCTCGCTCCAGCGCATCTCCCCCTGGTGCACAGCGACCATGCACGTGGAACTTTCTGTTAGTCAGGCTGCCAAGCCTGTGCTTTAAAAATGCTATTGGAATATACAAGGTCGGACAATTAAGTGCACAAACTCATCCTAGAAAAAGTACTGCATACCTCATTGCTGAATATCACCATGGTCACCTTCGAAGTTCTCCCCTTGGGAAACTATGCACCGATGCCAGTACCTAGTCCGCCCTTCAAAGCAATTTTGGAACTTTTTCTGGAATGGCCATCAGAGCTGTCATCATAGTACCCTTGATGTCCTGAATATCATCCAAATGTCTTCCTTTCAATATTTCCTTTATCTTCAGGTAAAGAAAGAAGTCATCGGGGCCAGATTAGTAGAGTAGGGAGGGTGTTCCAATACAGTTATTTGTTTACTGGCTAAAAATTCCCTCACAGACAGTGCCATGTGAGCTGGTGCATTGCCGTGATGCAAGAGTCATGAATTGTTGGCAAAAAGTTCAGGTCGTCTAACTTTTTCATGCAGCCTTTTCAGCACTTCCAAATAGTCAACTTGGTTAACTGTTTGTCCAGTTGCTACAAATTCATAATGTATAATCCCTCTGATATCAAAAAAAGGTTAGCAGCATCACTGCAACAAGTTCATGAACTTGTCAGACCTCATATTTCCAATAAAATGGGTTCCCTGAGATACTTGGGTTCTTTCCAAGCCTCACAAAACAAACCAAAAAAAAGGATAAAAGAGGGCTGGGGCAAGGTAGCTGGTCTGTTCTGGAGCCATCTGGGGATGTGGACGGTACCATGGGTAGGTCGCACACTGGGCTGGACAGGCCCCGGGGGTGGGGGAGGGGGGGTCCTGGGATGCTGGTACCAGAAAACGCCCACGAGTCAGGTCCAGAGGTGTGTGTGACCCGCGGCCAGTATTGCAGTGACATTCTGGCTTTCTCAGGCTTATGAACCACGTAGGCTTGGAATAGAGGTGTTCTGGTTGTTTTATCAGCAACATTTAGGACACATTTTTATCTCTATCTGGACAGTAATACCCTAGCAAAGCTGCAGAGCATTTCCCAGTTATTTCCTGGGCAGTTCCGATGGTGCAGGACCCCCAGGGGCCTGTATCTGACGGAAGTTGGGGACACTGCGTTAGACTCACCCATGGGTCTGGTGTCTGCCTCCCACCCTGGCAAGCTGCTGTGCCCCTTATTTTTACCAACTAGAGCCTCTCGTGTGCAGACACGTGTGGAGCTGGGTCTGTGTCTCATCCCCAGGACCACGTCCAGGAAAGTTGGGGCAGTGTGGTTTACAAGAGGCAATTCGGCAACATAGCACTTCATCTTACCTCATGGGATGTTTACTTTAACCACATAAATAGTCTAGAAAAACTGGACCATTAAACTTGGACATGCAGTCTTTCCATCCTCTATGTCATCAAAATATTTAAAAGTGGGGCTCCTTTTATCCAGCCTTGTAGCTTGGGGGGCTTTGTTAAAATGTCACTTGGATGGCGTGCCCTGAGTGTACTTTGTTAAAATGAGAAGCTTCCATTTTTCTGGTTGTTGCGCTAATCAGGAAATGTCCCTAAATGCTGTAGCCTGCCGGCTGTTAGTCCAGACAGTTGTGATGCAAAGGATTTGCCTTCCAGAATTGCCCTCGAGTTGTCATCGCTTCCCTGTGAGAGCTTGTCACAGTCTGAGACCCCTTCTCACAGCTCCAGCAGCTTCCTCTGACTAAGGGGACAGAGCCCCTGGCTGGCATTTGCTGGAAAACTCTCAGTAAGTGCCAAGTGGGTGTCTGTGGTGTTATTCATGGTTGCACACATAGGGAGACTGTTAACAGGTCATGTGCTTTCCTGCCTCCTTCTCTTCCCTCTCTGAGGTGCCAGTGTGCCCAGGGTGGGGGGCTTCTGGGAGATCATAGATTGGCTGACCCAGTACATGCACTGAGGATGGGGGGGTGGGGGGCAAGAGGAAGGCTGGAGGACCCTGTGGGGTGACTGAGGTGTCGGTGTGATCTCGCACTGATTTTCCTAATGCACTGGAGGATGTGGAGGGGGCTGTGGTGTGTGTGCTGGTGTGTGTCACATCACCTGTCGTCTGAGCACTCCCCCCTGGGGGGGCCTGAAGCACTACAGCCCCGGAAGCCATGAGCCCAGATCTTGGTTTCTAAATGCCCTCAGACCCTTGGAGAAACACTGATTCCCACTGAGGAAATTAGTGATCTGTGAGTCAGCGCTGACCTAAAATCAACAGGGGAGAAGGAGGACTCATTCTTCAGGTGGAAAGTCACCAATGGATGTGGAAGGAGTGAGGGAGACAGTCATTCTTTGGCAGCCCTCATGTGGTGACTGGATGTGCAACGAGGAGACAGACAGTGGTCTGGTCTCAGGCTGTGCCCCGAAAACACCAGTTACAGAGGGAAAAGGGTGACTTTGGGCACCGGCACAGCAGCACTTCCATGACACTCCCGACATGGCATTGTGAGGAGATGTCAGAAGCTTACAGGCCCATCCACAGCCTGAGAGTCCTGTACTCTGCAACCTGCCGAGACCTGGGGCAGGCCAGATAAGGGTATGGGGCTGTGGTGGACAGGAGGCGCTGGGGACCCTGGAGGGGCGTTTTCTGCTTAGGATAGTTTTGGGTAAGGCATGAGGGTGGCCCCATTTGAAGAAACACCCAGTGAGTGAGTATCATGGTTGTGGGTGAGCCTGCAGGGAAGTGACAGAAAGTCCCACGCAGGCAGAGTGGCCACAGGCCCAGAGCCCCGGCACCATACATAAGAGCGTGATTATCATGGCATCTGTGATCGTACAGACATAAAATGGTGGAAAGAAACTGCACCCACGTCTGGAACAGAGGAGCCACTTAACGTGTCAGTTTCTTTTTCAAAATGAGAGCAGATTGCTGTTCTTCGTAGTGTGAATGTCGTAGGCGTTTGTAGGCCTGACGCTGGGAA